ATTACAATAATTAATTCAATAACGAGGTATACTCTCGACACAATATATTATATAATGTATAATGGAGCGTATACCTGTATCATTCTTTATTTGTGTTGTTTTGTAAATTTCATAATTTTATTTTTTTTCTTATTGCATTGGTGTATAATTTAAACTATTTCATTTTCCTTTTATATTTTAAGGTTTCTAGTACTTAAATAATTTATTCAAAAAATACATATATATATTGAATATGTAAATTGTATAGTTTAAATATTATATTGGTGATTTATTATATTTTTATAAATTACATTGTTTTGTGGGTTGATAACTATAGTAAAAGGAAAATGTTAACTTTACAATATAAATTTCAAATAATAAACATTTGTTTTTTAAATATCATTAAAAACAAAAAGTATAAATTTAGCATTGCTTCACTCAAGAAATATTTGACATTATATTTGTGCATGAGTCGAATTTTAGTTTGGCTTTGGTTTCAGATATTTTTACCTACTGTAATGATTACACGGGATTTTGGTAAAACTATATTATTTTAATAGATAATTTATTTTTATATGTTAATAATTAACCATTACCAAGAAAAAAAACATTTTATGATAAATAATTTACATCTTCTTTGAGTTTTATTTGAAAACTTATGAATTAATGATTAAAATTAATGACAAATTAAACTTGTTAATTATTTTTAAAAATGTTAACTTTAACGCAATATTTAACCTGATCAATTTCAACAAGTACAAAGTTAATTTTAAAGTAAAATTTTCGAACTCTTACGTCGTATTTGTGTTTAACAGATCTGAACAGCTTTATATATTAATATGTTACACTCTTTGTTTGTTTTACATACAATATAGGTAGTTTATCGCGTAATAAATATAAATTATAAAATATGTTATTGGATTAAATGTAATTTAATTATTCGAAGATCTTTATTAGATTGATATGGGCAAGTTAAGTGTATAAATTGTTATTTTTGATTTACGACGTTAGTTGAAGTTTTTTTTTATCGTTTTTATTTTTTTATTTCTTACTATTTTTGTCATTAATAATCTATTATGTGATTCAATACTACTGCTATGACGCATAACTGTATTAGAATTCTCAAGAGAACCCACGGAAGCAATTATATTAATATGAGCCAATTAACATAGAAGACGTACATTTATTTTCGTGATATAAATTCCACATTGGTCAATATTATGCCATGTCATTTTTGCAATGGCAGTCAACATTTTTAGACGAGCAGCATGCATTCGTTGTTTTGACATGAGATCCTCATGGGTGGGTGTATTTTTGTGTTCAATTGGTTCTTAATGTAGGTTGTGTATTAATAATGTGTTTGACGTAGGTACTATAAGACATGAGTATATATTTATTCAAGTGAAGTTTCAATAATGGGTGTGGCTGAAAATCGGTTATTGTTTTAATTTTGATAAGTTCAATGTTTTGGTTGTAGGTACTTACATATAATTATATACTATGTTATAACAAAATATTTGGAAATTTTTGTTTATCGATTATTATTATTATTTTATGTAACCATAATATCGGTATTATTGTAATTGCTATTAATTCAGCTTATTACTGTTATAGTGTCATTATAAATAACACTAAATTCATAGTTGAATCTTTATTTCATTGAATTTGAATGTGTATTTGTTATATATTTTACTTTTATTTTCAAAAGGTATAAACATTATTGAATTTTTTTAAATTTAAGTTTGGTACATATAAAATATAAAGTAATATGTAATGTATATAAATAAACAAATTATGTGTATGTTTTTATAGATGAACTTAATAATCAAACATAGTCTTTACAACATATTGTTTTAATAGTAAAGGTTCTTGTAAAATAAAGTTATGAATTCCTGTAGTCTTCAATATTAGATTACGTATCCAAGAATTTCTTTCATATTTTTGCCATAAAACATGAATAAAAATGTTCATTAAAAGTTTCACACGTAATTTTTACTGTAAATATTGGTCATTTTAATAGAATTTCGACTTATTTAAATTTTTTTTTTTTGGTTTTAATAATTTAATAATTTAAAATGTTTATACATTTTGTTAAATGTATATTCCTACAATATTTATTTTATTAAAATCTCACACACAAGTACAATGTTCGTTATTTATATTCTTATTTTTTCTGTAACAATCATGTAGTGGTTGTATTGGTACCAAAAGAGAGTATCATATATACGAATTAATTAAATAAATATTATATTTTTTGAAGATCAATAGGTCATTTACTGTTCATCACTCTGATTTCATGAAATAAAAAAAGATCAAAGTAAACTTGATAATAGTACAGTTAAACCTCTCTGTAATGGAATCATGGAATCGGTTGGGACCAACATTTTTTCCGTTATAAAGAGTTTTCCGTCATAGAAAGGTAGAAAATTATTTATTATTTACACTGGGACTATTGACATTTTCCGTTATAAGGAGGATTCCGTTTAATAGAGAGTCCGTTATAGAGAGGTTTTACTGTATTTCAATTTTTATTTATATGTCTGTCATCAGATTGTAACTATAACGAGTACTCAAATTTTTTATTCAAAAAAAAAAAAAACGATTTGTCAAGATTGCTAAAACGATCACTCATTTGAATTCGCATAGTTAAACAACTGTATAATTATTATTATACGCCATGAATTAAAGGATTTCGTGATCACGCACTGTTTCCCGTAATAGGGATCACAAAAGTCCATTACCGAAAAAATAACTCAGAAATCACAGAATAATAATTCGTTTTGTATAATATATTATATATTTTACTTCGCGGGTGTTATACAGTATTATATATGTTACCTTAATTTAATTAGTTTTTATTACCTGTACGGTTTTTTTTCAAAATGTTCATAGTATCTAGGGTAGTTTATTACTTAAAATTGTTCAACCATTTTCTAAAATATAAACTATGTGTAATGAGAATATAAAAAGCACTAAGCGTAATACGCCATAACAATATAATATACTCTAACCATGTTTCATCAAGTTTGTTTATAACATTTTATATTTATTTATTAGAAGGTAAATTATACCTGTAAAACTCTGACTAACTATTATTACATTTAATGATACAATTAAAGTTATTTTATTTTATTTTACTATAATATATTTCATAATATGAATTATGCACGTAAAAGTTTAAAAATAAATAATTTCAACTATAAAACGAAATCGAGAATATAATTAAGGCTAAGTTTGTATTAAGTCTTTATTACACAAAAACAAATTAGTTTTATTGATCTCGTGACTGGTTACTGGTCACTGACACTGGTTATGGTTGACATTAAACATAAAACAGCTCATGTTTCTAATGAATTATATACTTAATACATCATTTTTGTTATTATACTGCATTTTTTTTTTTTTTTTTTTAAGTAGGTTTATTAAGATATATTTTTTTTCCTTTTATTTTTTTATTTGCATTAAATTTTATTGTTTAAACAATTAACATAAAACAATAATAAAGATAAAAATCTATCTAATTTTAAGTATAGTGTAGTATAGTAATTTATTAATTTAACTTAATATTTTTTTTAAAAAGGATTATAGTAACTACTGGATTTAGATATGTATAATGATAATATTTTCAATATTAATGCGAATTAAAAACGAACTTTTGAGCCCAGTTCCACTATAAGCTTTTCTAATGGTCTAATGGTTTCTTCAAACTACTGTGGATATAAGTACAATGAAAAGAACTTCTTAAAATCATTAATTATAGTTTGATTTTTGCATGAACGTTAAAACGGTTATGACCATATTATTAAAATTATTTTAACAACAAATACAATCAGATGACAGTATTTCAGATGGTCTTAAGCTTAAGTTTTATCAGGTTTTATGCAAGAGAAATAAAATTATCAATTCTGCCGTGGGTGTTAGTCTAATAGTGACTAGATAAGAAATAAAGAAAATGTTGCCAAATATAATGGTGAGTTTTCTTATCTTGTTGGTGTTCTGCCCAATGGTTTGTTTCTTTGACCATACAACATTATATAGGATTAAACAAAAGTATTAACTTAATGACACAGTATTATTAAAGACCAGTTCATACTATAAGCACTGAATGAATATTTTTGTATCTATAACAGAAAAATAAGGAAAAGAAGTAGGGCTATTTTTTTCTATACCATTAATATACATTAATATCTTATCCTGAGTTAATTAGTTAAGTAATTACTTATATAATTAAAAAAAAGATGACGTTATAATTTCAGAAATGAGAACATAAGGTATCATATAATACAAGGCTTGTTTGAATTTAATCAAACATGTACAATGTACATAAAATCTAAAAGTGCGGATGACGAAAATTATTTATCTAAAAAAAAAAAAAAATCAAGATCTGCTTATTTAACATTAAAATAACATTAATCATTTAATGTAAATTCTATGTAACATTATTATTATTATTGTATTGTGTGTATTTATTTGGTGTAATATGTTATAAGATATTATGTTTAAATTATATTTAATCATTTTAACATTAAAGAATAAAATAATAACTTACCTAACCATACAATAAAATCAGGAATAAATTGTTCTATTATTGTCATAGTTGATTGATTAAACAACATAACAACACAAATTTAATTTATGATACTATTGTGTAATTTTTAAGTTACTATGGTAATGATTTTATTTTTACAACAAAATAATTGTTCTCAGATAAAAAATTCATATGAGCGGATTGGATGAATTTTTTTCAATTTAAGTAGATATTTTAATAGACATTAAGTTCAAGAATGTTTATTGAATATAACTGAAAAACTTCGATGCAAATTTGACAATAATTATTGAAAAAGTATATTTTAAATATAAACAAACTAATGATTGAATAATCAATTATATGTCAAAAATATTCATTTTAAGTTGCTCAGTAAGTTATATAAAAACAACCTTAATCTGACCAAATTATCTAATAAATATTTTTGGTTTGATTATCATCAGTTTATTTAAATAGTACTATTTGTAAAATAAATATGATTCGATCACGAATTATTACACCTGAGATTATTAAAAAATCATATTTGAAATATGAATGTTCGAAAGACGTCGCTCTTATACTATCGTTGGAACAAAACTTTAACTGGGGAATCATAACAGAATTAAATTTGAGTCTTTTAAGTATAGTACACATTGTTGGATTAAGATTAGTTACAAATCTAAAATGCTTGACACTATCACACAACAAAATCAAAAAAATCGAAAACCTGGATTGCCTTACAAAGCTAGAAGAACTAAACCTTTCTTATAATAGAATTACATCAATTGAAAATCTTGATAATTTAATAAAGTTAAATGTTTTAAGTTTAAGTGGAAACAACATTAGTGAATTGAACAATTTGGATAATAATTTACAATTACAGGCATTTTATATAAACAATAATGAGATAACTGACATTAATCAAATTTTCTATTTGAAACGTTTCAAATATTTACAATGCATGGATTTATCAAACAATCCAGCTACCAATGGTAATAGAAAACTAATTGTTGATCAATTTCCAAATTTGATATATCTTGATAATATACATATAACGGCCGAGGAACGTTCATTAGTTGTTGAAATTAACGATGAATATAGTTTAGCAGGTTCAGAAATTTTGGGAGACTCAAACATTATTCACAAAGCTTTTTTAAACGAAACAGATGGTATACAGTTTTTCAATTATTTATACAATGAAGATCTTGATGCTGAATTGTTGAGTAAATGGAACTCAACTGTTCGGAGGGCTTTCGCAACATTACAGAAACAAATAACCGATAGTGCAATGCAATTATATAATACAAGTTTACAAAAGTAGTATAATTTAGTGTAAAAAATTGAAATATTTTTATTTAAATGTTTTTTTTTCAGACTGACGGTGAGAGATGAGATGTTTTCCACGTTCAAAATGAGTCATAACAAATTTGAAAGAAAATTAACTTACGAGAGCCGTGATATTATAGATGAATTTGAAGAAATAAGAAGAATAAGGATAGAACCTATTGAAGGGCAACTAATTGACATTGAAACAAATGAAATAACCAATAACCAGAATTCAATTCGAATTGAAAAAATATGTGAACATTTTTCAATTGAATCCTTTGTTTCTGTAACAGAAGATGAAATAATTGTATTGAAAAGGAAATTGCACGAAAAAAACATTTATATGAATAAAACCATAATGGATATGATAAGTAAATACACTAAGTTTGTAGAAGAAGAACTAAAATTATTTTTGGAACTGTTAGTCCCAATATTTTTCAATATGCGTGCAATTATAAGTACCTATACTGAGATACTGAGTGAAAATGTTAGGTTGGCCGTGAATAATCCAATAAAAATAATACCAAAAGAGTTCATTAATCACTTTGAAAATAGGTAAGTCTTAATTAATTAAACAATAATCAATTTAATTGAAATATAACATAATTTATTATGTATAAATAAAGTGATACGTTTTATATATACATATTATATTATCAAGTAATATTATAAGAAGTTACAAATAATTTGTTTGAAAAAAATTTACAAAATGTATAAATACAATTGGTATTTATTTATCTATTTTTTTCAATAAATCTTTAATGATTATCAAAAATAAAATAAGAATAATTTTACTCAACTTACCTATCTATTTAAAAGGGCATATGGCTTTTAGATTTGTAATAAATGATGCTGTAGTTAAGATGTCTGATAGACATATGGAAATGATATACAAGCGCGAAGAACTTCTTAATACTAATGCCAAAAAATGGGCTGAAAAATCAATTGAAGATTTAAAAAACTCTGAGAAGCAAAGATTTTGGATGGTATTTGAAGAAATAACTAGATATAGTGATAAAGTATCAATTTGGCTTAAATCATTAAAAAATAATTAATCTTATGGAAAAAAAAAATGTTTTAATTAAATAATTATTAGCAAAGTATACCGTACAAAGAATATAATGTTTTAGTTTAATTGACACATAAAATTATAAAAAAAAATGATTTAGTTTAACAGTATTAAATAATAAACATTATTATAACTAATTAATTATTATTAAAATAACTTTCATTTTATTGCTTGATTATAACAACTGATAATTTATTTATAATTATATAATTTAACTTTTTTCTATGTTCAGTAAGTTAATAAACAACAGCTTACAGCAGTAACTTCAACTATTTCCGCCTTCAAAAAAATTTTGTAGGTCATATTATAGATAATAAATATTTTAAACTTTTTAGACAAATATTTTTCTTGAAAAAAAAATTGTTTAGTGGAAAATTATAAAATAAAAATAAAGTTTAAAGTTTATTTAAATGTATTTAGTCGTTTATTTCAGTGATATTATATTATATCATACTGTTTTTGAGAAAATCGGCTAGTTTAAACAACAATAAACAGCATTAAACGATTAAAAGGGTTGCTAGTTCTTACTGTTTGTTTTGGCCCAAATTGTAATATAGTTAATGTATTCATGTTTTTCTCATGAGCCAAATATACAATACCAAATGTAAATAATATAATATAAATTATGAATAATGCTAGTGCAAGTGGACATGTCATATTCACGAATAAATGTATAAAATATTAACAATACCTACGACCTTTAGTGGCATTATACTTTACATTAAATTAACGTAATCAAAAAAATCGGATATCAGTTAATTAAAAAAAAAGAAATGTTTGTTCTATAAAATCCTAATTTAGTTTTTCTTTTTGGAATGTTTTATTTTTTACTATTTTAATTTCGACGAAAAAATGTATAGCAAAGCTAATCGTGTTAATATTTTAAAACCTATGTGGAGTGATGAATATAATGGTTTTATTAAGATGAATATTTATTTATTTTTATTTCACTGACTTCAAATTTAGGAGGAGTAAAAATACTTCAATTTTTAATTTTTATGATTGTCTTTGATAGCAAGTTTCAAAACAAAACTAGAAAAATAAAAACTTAAAAATTTACTGATCACGATGATTTATGATGAAATCAATATGTAGTAAGTCAAAAATGATATTTTTGGATAATTGACATATTTAAAAAATAATTATTTCCATTTTCTAGGCATCATATAATTTTATTTTCAAAATATTTAGGAAATTTTAGAACTATTATTATATCATTTAAAACTGTTCAACTCAATCTTATTTACGTTTTTTCAATAAAAAATTTAAAATATAACTCATAGTGGTTCTTAATATGCTTTTTTATAAAAATTAAGAGTAAAATATACATTGAAAATATTGAGTTAGTTTTATGAGTTAATTTCAAAATTACTATCATTTACAATTTATTTTGTATTTGAAAATTTCAATAAACTTGTAATACCTTAATCTTGAAATTTGAATACAAAATTTTTAATAAGGGTTTTTTGTATAAGAATTAAAATTTAAAGCAGATAAAAAACCCACTCGTTTTTTAAAGCATTTTAAAATAAAAATATGTTGTTTATAGAAAAAAATAGGAATTTATCATGAATCGACTTTAGTTATTTTGCTGTAATTTAAATATTAATAAGAATGAGCATTTAAAACATTCTAGTATTCTACCACCACTTAAAAATTTTAATTCAACATAAATAATAATATGTCAGAGCAACTTTACCAAATTTTATTCTGAAATCTGTAAAATCGTTTAATTTAAAATACGATTATAAAATATAATTGTTTATGAATTTTGATAATGTGTTTTGTTATACTAGTACCAATAGTTATGCATTTATTTTGGTAATGTATAAAATTTCAATGACGAATTACTAATTGAATGATTATTAATTTACTTTGCATACTTTATAAATTGTATTTGTCATTTATTGACCTTTTTGAAATATATCGATTTTATACCAAGTACATTTTTCTTATTCTATTTCTATATTTCGTTTGTACAATTCTGAGTTTTAATTTTCAACGGAATTAATAATTTAATGGTTAAAATATCTTACAAATCTATTTGTTTTTAAACGTTTTCAATTATGGAATATAAAACGAAATTTCAATTACCTATAGCGTTAGGGTGTAAATGTAACTGATGTACACAATACATTCGTCGGCTCATCGTAATAACGCACCCATCACTATAATAAATTGAAATACCATTATAAGATAAAACACATCGGAAAACGTATCCGTAAACCTAGATAATGTTGACGAAATAGATTGGTTCGCGATTAAATCATTGGATATATAAAATAAAGAACACTTTAATGCCTGGCTTATCATCAAAAACAAAACTATTTAGTTGATATTAAATAAAATCAAACAAAGCCAATGGATAGGTTATATCAATAAATTGTCAAAAATATGCTAATAACAATAAAATTAAAAAATACCGCAATTAATGTGTTAAGTTAATCATGAAAGTATGCATAACATTTTTTTTGTCATAAAATTTAAAAATAATTCAATCATACTCAGTCACGGTTTTTAATATTTCTTCAAAAAAAGTTAGTTGTTTCTTGAAAACCTTTAAAAAATTTAAAATGCTACCACTCAAACATTTTTATTTTGGTAAGATTTTCAATTCTGAATGTGGTAAATTAATTATTTATGTGTATTTCATTTTTTTTTTTCAATGAAATAATCAGATTATTTTTATCATGTAAACTAAACAATGAGTAAATATTTTGCTGAAACAAAAATACCCTTTTTTCACAAACTAGTATACATATTGTTTAGCCTATTTTCAATACATTTTTTTTTTATTATTATTGTTATTCAAAAACAACGTAATTACGAGAGTTAACACGCTTAACTTTACAATTAGATGTAATGATAAGATAACATAATATATAGTAAATAATATATGCGGATAATTAAATTTAATGATTTAATACTATTTAAATGCTAATTATAATGTTTATTATTTATTCAACTTTACAATAGTTGAGAAAATTTAGATATTAGTATTAGTATATTACATAAACTATAAAAAGCTAAAGCTGTTATTCCAAACATTTTCTGTACCTAATAGCCAACATGGTTAAACCAATATGATTTTGCTTTTTATATTCATAGACTTTGCACCAGATGTAAATAAATCAAATATCCAATATCAGTTCAATTTTCTACATCAAATTGAAAACAGCTTGATATGGAAATTTGAATAATGTGGAAAATCACACAAGGCTGTAAAATTCATCCTGAAAAATCATTTATAATACTTCACAGCGTTTACTAAAACGTTAATGGAAAGATAAAACTCGACAAAAAAGTTTGTTCTGTTCACCATATTATACGATATTTGTACATCACTAATATTCTATAATAATAGATATGTTGGATATAAAGCACAACAAATAGACAATTGAAACTTTCCTGGTATAATATAGTACTAATTTGTTCCTATAGATATTCAATCTTAATTTTATTTAAATTATCATATCGAGCTTTTTACTCAAGGCGCCTTTTTGTACCTAATAAACATATGTATTCGTATTTGACTAATTAAATCGCAGCGATATGTTTCCTGGTTCATCTGTTTTCCAGTTAAAAAAGGAAAAAAAAACAATGTCATAGTGATCGATTTTTTTCTTCAAGCATTTACTGTTGGTTATTATGCTTAAAAAAAACCCTACACATTTACGTAAAAACTTGCAGAACATGATTTATGGAAAATTTATGTTAAAGAACTAAAGACTTAAGATATTAATAAATTATAACTAATAATTATTAACAATTTGAAATATTTTCAGACAATGGATAGTACTAATATGTTAATATCTAATGCATTATTTTCATATTTCCGTAATTTTCAATTATAATGGACAAAATTAATATCCTATAATTAATCAATATTATATTTCAATCATTCAGCTATTTGATCTGCTCATTGACCATATCGACGAGTAATGACAAATCAATATTAAGCTTTAGAGTTATGTTATTACTTTATACTTAATTATCTGTTCTAAAATCTACAATTGAAGAAAAAAGTAAATTTATATCATGATTTATCAATCAGTACAACAAATAATAAATTAATTTTTTTTTAGATCTAACACGGTGCATTTTTTAAAGTCATAGACAATATATGTGCACTCTTGTACATTTTTAAATTAAATACACTAGAGAAATAGGGTGTGCAAAAATTAATTTTTCGCAAAGAAAATACAATAAAATTAGTTCAGTTTAGTTATTATATATTTTTTTCGGTTGAAATAAAGCTATAGATATATGTTGTTTTGTATGTTTAAACTATAATTTATTATGTACATCGTATATGTATACATAAACGATCGTATACTTATTTGTAAAGAATGAAAATACCTTTATGTTTCTACACGATATGAATAAAAATGTAAAACTTTTTCGATAATAAACATCGGATAGCCATTTGATAGACGTTATCAAACAGAAAATAGATTAGGGTGATGTTAAGTTTTAGTTTTTGCATATAACGCAATATATCATACAATTTTGGTTTTTCATTATATAGCTTCAGTAATGCTTTAGTACCTAGTCATGTTGTTTAAACGATGTCATCTCATATGTTCAGTATATATTGTAAGTTAATATGTACTGTGCCAGTATAATGTTTGTTAGAATTTGTTTTATTTCCTCTGAGATTTGTATCGTTGAAATACTAAATTAAACTTTTTGCCTGGACATAAAAGAAAATAACATGCGTTATTAGTGTTATTACACACTCAAGCGTCACCTGGTTCCATATTGTGGTTTGATCACAGCCAAATGCGTCTGGGAATATCGATATACGTATACAACATAATAATATATAACATTCGCACACACGTATAAAATAAGACAATAGTAATATGTCAACAAAGTTACTTAGGTCCCGATGGTGCCAAATATATGTGAGATGCAATAAGGATTTTTCCGAAAATCGACATTATTTGTAGTTTAACACTTCAATGTTTCCTAGAAGATGAAAAT